ACAATAGATAATATACTATGAATATGAATATGTAAATAGAATGTGCAAAAAGACAAGAATATTGTATGAAAGATATATAATATCACATAGTAATAACACATATCACATATGATATGAAGTAAATGTTTCAGTATTGGAGCGGAGTGTTGTACAGGGTACACAGTGCAAAGGTGACAGGTAGCAAAAGGTGACAGGTAGAATTAGTGCAGTTCTGTGATGGTGGCTCTGACAGAGGTAGATGAGTTGTAAAGTCTTATTGCGGTTGGGAGGAACTTCCTGTATCGTTCCTTAGAGCAGCAGGGTTGAATGAGTCTGTTGCTGAAGCTGCTCTTTAGCTTGTCCGGTGTTTTGTGGAGGGGGTGAGAGGGATTGTCCATGATTGCCAGCAGTTTTGCCAGTTCCACCACCTCTTCCAGGGTGACAAGCTTAGAGCCAACCACTGACTCAGCTTTCCTGATCAGTTTGTTCAGTATGTTGGTGTCCTTTATCTTGATGCCTGCACCCCAGGACACCGCAGCAAAGAAGATGGTGCTCGCCACAACAGACTGATAGAACATCTGCAGCATCTTGTTGCAGACATTAAAGGACCTGAGCCTCCTCAGGAAGTAAAGCCGCCTCAGGCCCTTCTTGTAGAAAAATGACCCCCCTCCATGTAAATATAAAGTTTTTAAGTATAAAGGGCCCATTCTATGGGAAAGAAAACAACAATTCATACAATTTAGTTGAAACACACCAGTGAAAACATCACTAGGATTATTTTATATAAAATTTCTGCCAAAAATCCCTTTCACCTAAATCTTATACACTGAACTGAAAGTGAGGGCAGGTCAGCAGGAGTGTGGTGGGACGACACCCAGACAGAGACTCTGACACGGTACAAACCAACTGCTGCTTCTGCTCTGATCTTGAGTCAGCGGCACTTATCATTTTACAGCAGTGGTGCATAGTGGAGACCCTGTTATCATGCGTGTGTGTGTGTGCGCGCGCGCGCAAGACAGTGTGTGTGAGTTGGGGCGGGTCAGCCCGGGGCCTGTGTGTGAGTGTGTAAACTCTGCTCTTACACTGAAAGGGGGAGTTGAGAGAAGCGACACAACTCACCAGTTAAATGTTTGGCACACCAGTGCAACCAAGGGATAGATTTACTTGCATTTCACGCATGTGTCACACGCGTCCAAAATATTAAGCGTGGCAGTAAAGATTTTGGTGTGGCGATCCATCACACAGAAGTGTTACTAGGAGAATCTGAATCAAGACCTGAGCATGTGTAAATGTTTACAGGAAAAGAGAATCTTCCAAATCCCGTGGATGCATGCTGCGCGCCATGGCTGGGACTTGGAGAAAGATGCACCGCTCTTCATGAAATGGGCCATACACACAGGTAATACAAAGATTTACCTATACAGTCACACCTTCTGCCTTTCATTGGGTTTTTCAAATCACAGAAAGCTAAATTTGCATCCTGTTTTCAGGTAAGAAATCATGTTCTCATGGATTGTCCTTTTTAATTAGATCCCAGGATATATAATGCTTTAGCTGAATATTTTATTACTGGGTTCACATAATGTACCATACATACTGGTATCATGGATTCATATATAACAGCCTGAAAAGTGGCATTTATACACGTATCCTCCTCATGATATTAGCCAATTTAAGCCAAAAATCATCTCTGTAATAACAATAATAAGAATTATGCTGTTTGTGTTCAGGTAAATACCAGCCAGAGGTAGACCGTCCGGATCCAAAGACATGGAAGGCGAATTTCCGCTGTGCCATGAACAGTCTGCCAGACATTGAGGAAGTGAAGGATAAAAGCATCAAAAAGGGAACTAACGCCTTCAGAGTATATAAGATGCTCTCCTCCGCAGAGAGAAGTATGAAGAAAGGTGAGCGCTGTTATCTTACTCTACTAAAACTGACTTACTTTTAATTCCATATTCACTGATTAAAGACACTCAAGACTGGCTGTACATTTTGGTTTTTAAAAATGATCTCTATAATCGATGTCTTTCTGTGTTTGTCTATTTAGGAAAGAAGAAGTCTGACAAAGAGGGGAGGCCCAAGGAAAATAAAGAGGTAAATAAACTGATAAAAGCCCTCCTCACACATGGAACCAACAACACTGGCAAGATAAGGTGGCTTTTACCTACATAACACAAAACTGTCTTTATCAAGTCTCTCCACACTTTAAAATAACCATTTAATATTTTGAATGTGCTCACCATGAGCAGCGGCATTGCAGAGGAGTAGAGGCGTGACAGGGAACACAAATACCACGGAAGAAGAGTTTCTGATTTCATACTCATTTGCAATTTAACTGTAACTTGCGGGTACTGGTCTGGTGACATTAGGCATCATAAGAATATTTACTTTACCCAGAAATGTTGCTTTTGTATCAAAGCAGATCAAATGATTTCTGAAAGCCGTAGCAGAGGTGGCAGATTGCCTCAGTATCTAACGTTAACAATCATCTCCGGTTCCCACAGACGTTTGGCAGAGTGGGAGCAGTAACCAAGTGCTCCTCCTCCATCTGCCTCGGTTTCTCTGTAATGCACATGTTTAAGCAATACAAAGTAAAACCAATAGCTACTAGTTCCATTTTAGATAATAAAATGATCAAATTGGCTGCTGTATTATTAGAGTCAGCAGAAAGTAATAGAGAACATACATTTAATTAGAAATAAAATCTAAAATCATCGCTTAACTGTATTTTACTGTACTATACTGTAATTTGCTTTGAAGAACATTCAATATTCACAATCGTATCAAAAATCTGTGTGATATATATATATATATATATATATATATTCAGGTCAAAGCCACTGATTTTAAGTGTGCTAATGTGTTTGCACTGGCTCATTGCAGTACAGCTGTCTTATTGGACTTCCTCACTATCACAGTAAAATGTAATGAATGAATGAACTAAACAATGTACAGTATATTATAGATAAATGGACATGTGAACATTGATGTCCATATAACTGGTTTAGCTGAGCTTCTGTGTTTGTGTAGAAGTTTGAATGAAATGTTTTCTGTTCTATATGAAGCACTGATACAGTTGTTGATGGCAGTTCGATGACTATAATATGGAGCCCCCCCATTAGGAATGCTTGGGGGCCGATGCCCATACTGATATTGAGGGCAGAAAATGTTTTGGGCCGATAAAAATAAGAAAATATTTGTGAGTCCTTATCAAACCCTAATGACAGAGAAAAGTAATTGAAGCTTGACATTTTACTGCTTAACCATAAACTTAGATAAATAAATAAAGCTATATATAGTGTTGTTTATTCAGTATATCATCAACACAAATCCAGATATATCTGTGAAAGTATCAGCCAACCAATAAATTGTCTGGGCTCTAATTTAAAAGACCCTTTCATACACAATGGTATGTATGGTACATTTAACCATATCGGTTTTCCATAATCTATCTTTTTCAGCTTTTTGTTCTTCTCACCCTCAGGCAGCTTCTCCGTTTCCAGACAAAATTGTTCTCCAAGCTGATGCTGGACCTATTGACTATTCCAAACAGGAAGAGGTCAAGCAGGAACCCATAGAGTCAACAGTGATGGACAGTGCCTCAGGTATGACACAGGTGTCTTCTTTTTAGTCATTTCAGACATGTCCTATGGAGGATCTCCGGAGAATTGGGTCCGGATTTTCTCCGTAGTTTTCCTTTCACACATGCACATCGCAGCAGGAGGCTCTCTGCTCAGACACATTCACAACAGCAACATGTAATATGCAGAGTTCTGGTGAGGGGTGGTACAGTAGACAGTGGCAAGAAGTAACATCACATTGACAACAGCGTCAGCTCTTAGCACCACAAACTCTCTTGAAATCTTTGTTGGTGTCTTTATGTGTATCCCCTGCTATGCACTCACATCGCATTTTTATACTAGGGGGCAGGTGGAGAAAGTATGTCACTTGGACATTTGCATTCACACATACAGCTCTGGAGAAAATGTGGAGGATCTCCAGAATTCAGTGTATGTCTTAAAGCAGTTTATGTGGTTGTTGGGGCTGTGACCTGGCCCCTGGTTTTGGCCAATGTTGAAGAACAAACATTTTGCCTGGATGTGTTTGTCATGGTGAAAGACAAGAAGAAGCAAGAAAAATTGAATTTGCTTGCTCCTTTCAAACACAGGGACACTTCAAAATGCAGTACATCAGAAACCAAAGTTACGTTAATAAGGTTAGAATTGCATATAAAAAGTTCCCTTCAGTGATATAAAAAATAGGCACAAAAGACCTGAATTTCATTTTTTGTGCAGTGAAATGTAAGTTGCCACAAAATCAATTAAGAAAATAAAAATGCCAGTAATTGAACTGGGATTTGATTATCATTTTAAAAGTTGTGGAACATTTAAGATTATCAGGATTGAGGCTCCATATACCCACAGCAGAGTAGTTACAGTGGTGAATGAGCAAAGTCCAAAAACCAGCATGTAGGTGATTGAAGTGTTATGTCTGGTGTTGTCCTGAATGGACATATTGTGTGTTAAATAAATCTTCCACAAAGTATCTACTTGATTCTGTGTTAAACCATTTGTTTAAAAGTTCAGCTGTAAAGAAACTAGAAGAGACCTCTTTTTTCCCTGTTTGACATGAGGCCTTGATGAGCTCTCAGCTTGTGGTGCAAAGGTTGTGCTCTGAGTCAGAGATTTTTTTCAGAACTATGTACAAATATGGTAAAGAAACACTCTTTGTCTTATACTCTTACAGTAGTGGATAGGTTCTATATGTTACTGTCATTTAATCAGTAGATCTTTTCCAGAGTCGGGTCAGAGTGTGCATGCGTGTTCAGTTTATTATAACATAACCTTTGTGTCCATTCATAGCCATTAACAGCTCAGTCGAAGACCACGTGATCACGAGCGAGCAGCTGCCATTTGTCTGTCAGACAATTGAAGTAACCACTGAGAATGAGGAGCAAACTGTTAGCTCCTCCCACTCGTACCCGCTCCAAATCTCCCCTGTTTCTTCATGCTGCGGTGAGAAGGCACACACACACACACACACACACACACACACACACACACACACACACACACCACACACCACACAAAACCACATTTATTACCAGAATTTGCATAAACAGCTCATGCTGCTGTGCTTTCTCATAATCACAGTTTGGACCACAGCACCATCAAGTGCACATTTTTTAGTTAAAAGTATAATATTTACACCTAAAGCATCAACTGGCTGTTAAGCTCAATGCATTTGATGTAGGCAAGTGGTTTTATTTAAAAAAAGTGGTTCAGCTGGTGACCCGATAATCTGACGTCATTACATCACCTGTTATTACACAATCCAACTCCAATAAAGCGTCTCCTTTATCACTGTCACCAGATTTTATCTGAAGTGCAGAAAATTGTGGGCAAACTAACTGAGTGTGGTAAGAAGTAACCACTGTCAACAGTGGTTAACAGCAATTATTGTGTCAGATAACAGTGTTTTAATCAGACTCTTTGAAGCTGCTTTTGAACTGAATAGTCATATTGAAATAAAAGAATAAAGACTTCAATAATTTATCTTGGAAATAATTACACTGGAGACTTAACAAGTTTTTGTTGTAGTGTCATTTTGAAAATAAAATAAAAAAAGACCCATAACCATAGAGACTTACTTGACGGTAAACATAGTGATATTAGAAAAATATTTTTTAGATTCTTCCAAATCTTGTATTCATTTGCTTATCTCCCCTCTGTATTTCCAAGTTTAACCGCTCATTCAGACAGAGCTGTCTCTTATATTTTCCATCCCTCCTTCCTCTCTGTACATTTGACCCTTTTTTGATCTCACACTTAATCATTGTCGTTGTTTGTCTTCTCTCTCTTTTGTTTATTTGTTAGGCTTGTTTACTTAGCAGATTGTACATTTAGTGAAGACAGTAGAAAAGTGAAATGCTAGGTATCTGCCATGTTAATATGGTTTGGCACTTTAAATCAAGATTTACTGGAATTCCACCCCTTCTCTTGAACTCTTTCTCTCTGATATATTTCCCGAGTACTGTTTTATCACTGCAATTTTGAATGTGTGTTTGTTTCTACAGGCAGTGACACAGACAGTGACACAGAAGATACTAAAGAGGTGAGTCTCGCATTGTACACAATCACAAAGGAGACAGTGATGATGAAATGATTAACTGCTCTGATCTTTAGATAAACAGGTTTTCACCTGTTTTGACTTTTCTGGTAAAATAGGGTGTGAATGTGGTGTCTGTGCGTGTGCGTGCGTGCGTGCGTGCGTGTGTGTGTGTGTGTGTGTCTTTGTGTGTTTTACTTTTCCTTCCTGTAATGTTGTGAGGCTGAGAAAAGGGAGGGCCTTGTCAGGAACTGTGACTGTCAAACATTAACAGACAGATCTAAGGTTGTTCTTCTGTAGTACATTGTACCCACAGTGAACACACGTCTGTATCTACACACACCAATACTACAACTTATCAGTGGTAATATTTTTGGTGTTTAATTTTTCAGTGTAATCCAGTACAGTAAAATAAATAATTTGATGTTATCTTGCTAAAAAAATACATAGGTGTCAAATGTTACCCTGAGGTTCTTGACATATGATAAACAGCTATGAAGTGTAGTTAGATTGTTCAGCCTATGTGCTTTAAATGAGGTATTAATGTGTATTATCTGTGAATTAAAATGTTGTCTTGCAGCCTTTTGTGTTGTGTATTATATGGAGTTTCACGATCTCTCCTTTTTTAATAGGGTATCAGTGCAGTCTGGAAGCGGGACTACAGCACATCAGTCCTCAGAGTTCCCACATGTTCTCTGCCCGGCATGGACACTTTTGTCAACGCAAACAAGCCCAACTTCAGAGTCACCAGCATGCGAGACCCAGACCCTCTCATCAGCTACCACACAGACGGCTGGACGTCGGAGACCAGCCACACCCATGAGATGCGCGCAAGTGTCATAATGAAAACCTCCGACGTTACCTCTTCCTGACCCCAGAAGTAGGGTATCCTAGCTGTTGTCAGAGCATAGGAATGACAGAGAATGTTGTTTGTCTTCATCAGGGCCACTCGGTGCCTAAAAGGCCAAACTACCAAATCTGTGATTTTGATTGTTTCCCATTTGATTGGAAATATTGCTGACTGGTGTTAATGATATCCTCCGGTGCTTGACTTGCTCACTAATTAGGGAACACTGAAGCCGTTTATACTTTCTGCATCTGCATGGCTGCGACGGTTTGCATACATTTCATCAAGTTCCCATTTCTGCAAGGGTTTTTGAACAATCCCTGTCCAGATTAAAATTATGAAAATGTGGAATGTAGGCAATCGTGAATCCATACTGTATATGTGGCACGTGTGTTCACATTTGTTCTGGACGACAGTGTATTTAGTCTTGATCATCCATGTGTCACAGGTAGATTATTTTCCCTGCTGCTTTTTGTCGACACTTTAGAACACCATCCTGAGTGAAGAGGAGATTTTGCACTTTTTCATAATTTCTTAAGAAGGATTTTATGAGTGAAAATGTATTTTGTAGATGCCTAGCTTTGGCCAGGTTTTCATATTAATCAACCTTTTAAGATTTTAAGCTATTAACAGCTTCCAGTCAACCCAAACATTCAGTTCCTATGTGACATAGTCCCTAGTAGTTCATTACAGGAGGAGGTTATGTATGTAAAACCTATTTTGAATCTAAAACCACCTAATTTGACCACATTTAATATAAAATTACTTACCAGTTAAGTATAAGAACCCGTTACAAGACAAAATGTGTTGATGTCACTGTTTTGCTACCCACACTTAATGTCTATGTTTGCACAAACATCCTCTTTTCTCTTCATTTTATATTGCACAAATAATGGGAAAACAAAGAACCATTAACTTTCTATTTCAAAAGAGTGTAACTGTGAGCAGAAAACATTGTCTAAAATAATTTCCTGAGACACATGGATAGAACAAAGATTACGTAAGCCTAGAAACAAACTGTTCATAACAGAGGAACAAATGTTATGAGGAAGTTAAAGTCTCTGTTGGCAAACCAGCTCCACTAGCAGCAAGTCACAAGAAGATTCAGAGTCATGTTGTTGACAATCATGACAATCATTGATATGCCCCGAATTGCCCCATGCAAGCAGGTGTGTGTGTGTGTGTGTGTGTGCGCACGTGCGTGTGCATGCATGTGTGTGCGTAGGAACTTGTAAGTCTGGAAACCTCAGGTAAACGTGCCCGCCAACACAGTGCCATGAACTGACAAGATGAACAACAGACACGCTGACAGACGGACTGACAAGACTGTGAACAATGGGTTAATTTCTTCCGCTCCCTCCTGCCTCCTGGTGTTAATAGTGTACATAGCTTATATGTATGTATGCAAACTGCTTCTGCACCTTATGGACAGCACTGCTGTGTGTGTGTGTGTGTGTGTGTGTGTGTG